GTACTTAAATACACTTTTTTTCTAGAAGAAAGAGAAAAAAATTGTTACTCAAAACCATGTTCTTACCTTCCCTAAACAATCTCTAGTCTATAATTTCTTCTCTGTCACAAACTGAGCCCATTTCTCAGCTTTCTTGGCTTAATGCCACATGAGTTCCTGTAATCCCTATCCCATCTGGTGCAGAAGTCATCAGGAAGCATTTAGCTTCTTCAGCAAAATAGATATTACTGCAAAAAATCCAGCACTTCACTAAAATGAAACATTTAAGATAAAACCCCTTGGCCTAAGAGCAGGGCATACAAATGAAAAGACTTGATGAGTACTACAAAGGAAGCTGGTATGGGACTCAGGTGTCTGGGCTTCTTTGACCAGCTGGTGTCCTCCTTTCCTTGGCAACAGGTGTAAGCAAGAACAGCTACTTCCACATGTAGCTTCTTTCCCACATTTCCCACAGAAACCACAACACAAATGTATGTGTTTCCTGAAAAGGAGAAAAAATGTTGCTTTGTCTAGAAATCATTAATGAAGAAAGCTTTGACATAAGTTAGACTTTTTTTCTCTAACATATAGTGAAAAAGGGACAGCTGGAATGTAAAAGCAGCTGTCTACTCTAGGTACTTTCAGGAATGGATACTCTTCCTTAAAACCCAAAATTGCAGAGCAGAGACAGAAGCAGATCAAATAAGACATTAAAACAGCAGGCTAAAAGGAGATTTTTGTCAGGAGATGTGGTGAGTTACATAGGACTACTTTAAGAATCATTTCAAGTATAACTAGAAGAGTTTGTATTTCTTTTAAATATTTTAAGTAGGGTGGGGTTTTTTTAAACCACAATTTTATGGAGAAATATTACAGAAAACTTTTCATTAGAGCTATAAGCAGGTCAGAATATATACCCTGAATTGCTGGGAGTGTCTGCATGAGCATGCATGCATACACACACATATAAAAATTAATTTCAATTAAAAAACCATTTTCTAATACATTGAACAATCCTCACTGCTGAATTTAAGTGTGTCTTTACTAATAATTTATTCTGGAAGCTGCAATTTTGAACTCTCCATCTGACTGCTCAGCTCAGAAAAAGGCTGGCCTACAGAAAAAAAGCATTTTTTTGTTCTTTCAGAAGCATAAAAAGACGTTAGATTGTAAAGTAAGCTGTGCTACAGTTAAATTCAAGAAATATAGCTGCATAGGATAACAGATAAACAGCTTTTCCCAACAGTCCCAAGCATTCTCCCCATCTTTTTCCCAAGTGATACAAAGAAAAGGAACTACATGTTTCTTTGTCAGAGATACACCCTGGCAGGAAGGCTCCTGACTTTGAGGTTTAAAAACCTTAGCAACAGCTGTGCTTCTATCCAAACTAATTTCTAGATGAAAAGAGAGGAGTAGAACAGCAAGAAACCAAAAAACCAGACATGAAAAAAATCTAGTTAGATTATCCAATTCTCTTTTGCCTACTCCATCAGTCAGAATGGTATATTGCCATTCAAGGAATGACTAAAAATGAATTCATTTTTATAACTGGAATACAAAACTACTAATCAAATTTGCTTCAGAGGAACCAAAGCAACCTATTGCAGATTCTGTCAGGCAGACAGCATATGTTTGTGAGCTCTTAGGCATGTTTAGTACTGCAGTGTTTGTCCAGCCACACCATTAAGTTCAGTGTTGCAGCTCTACCAGAAAACAGCAGCTAATGCTGAGGAAACACCTCATGCAGCATCATAGCCATGGTGTAACTTCAGAATCCAGGGAGGGAAAAAATCCTGTGCTCAACTGGCAAGATCTGCCATAGTTGTTTTGTTATTAATAAAATAAAAAATTAAATTAAAAAGTCATTTCATCCATCTCAACTTTGTAGAGGCAAATTTAGATTTGGTATAATACACAGGAGAAATACTAAGATGTTTTTCAGCAAAAGCTGTTGATACAAATACAGTTTTGTTATTCTTCCCATCAGTTTCTCCTTTAGCCATTGGAACCTAAGTAACAAATCACTTGCGTTTAATCATAGAACCAGACTCCACCGTTATATTTCAAACTTCATTTTGGCTTATATATTTGAAATATATAGTGAGAACTGAAGTTGGTTGACAACACTGATGTTCACACATGCATTAAAACCACAGCTTTATTGTATTTTCACATTGCTAATGAGAGCTATTTCTGGGCACAAATGACAAACAGTTAGCCTTTACTTTGAGACAATTGGCCTTTCTTGTTCTAACTCCTTCACTCTGATCACTTTTTCCCCACCTAATTTCCAAAATTTAAGTCTGTCCAACACAGAGCTGTTCTTTGCAAGTCACAGAGTCACAGAATCAATTAGGTTGGAAAAGACCTCTGACATCATAGAGTCCAACCTATGAATGAATGCCACCACCTTGTCAAATAGATCATGGCACTAAGTGCCACATCATCTTTTCTTAAATACCTGCAGGGATGGTGACTCCACCACCTCCCTGGACAGCCCATTCCAATGCCCAGTCACCCTTTCTGTGAAGAATTTCTTCCTAATGTCCAGCCTAAACCTCCCCTGCCACAGCTTAAGATTCTGCCCTCTTGTCCTGCTGCTGGTTTCCTGGGAGAAGAGACCATCTCCCTCCTGGCTACAACCTCCTTTCAGGTAATTGTAGAGAGTGATGAGGTCTCCCCTGAACTCCTCTTCTCCAGGCTGAACAGCCCCAGCTCCCTCAGCCTCTCCTCATAGGACTTGTGCTCCAGTCCCTTCACCAGCCTTGTTGCTCTTCTCTGGACCCGCTCCAGCACCTCAATATCCTTCCTGAGCTGAGAGGCCCAGGACTGGACACAGTACTTGAGGTGTGGCCTCACCACTGCCAAGTACAGGGAAAGAATCACTTCCCTCGTCCTGCTGGCCGCACTATTCCTGATGTAAGCCCAGATGCCATTGGCCTTCTTGGCCACCTGGGCACACTGGTGGCTCATGTTCAGCCGTCTGTCGACCAGCACCTTCAGGTCCTTTTCTACCAGGCAGCTTTCCAGCCAATCTGCCCCCAGCCTGCCTGGGGTCATTGTGGCCAAAATGTGGGACCTGGTACTTGGTCTTGTTGAACCTATACAAGTGCCCTTGGCCCATTGATCCAGCCTGTCCAGGTCCCTCTGCAGAGCCTTTCTGCCCTCCAGCAGATGGACACTCCAACCCAAGTTAGTGTTGTCCACAAATTTGCTAATGGTAGACTCAATCCCTTCATCCAGATCATCAATGAAGATATTAAACAGAACTGGGCCCAACACTGATCCCTGGGGGACGCCACTGGTGACCCGCCACCAACTGGATGCAGCCCCGTTCACCAGCTCTGGGCTGCAGCTCTCCAGCCAGTTCCTAACCCAGCACAGAGTGCCCCTGTCCAAGCCGTAGGCTGCAGCTTTTTCAGGAGTATGCTGTGGGAAATGGTGTCAAAGGCTTTGCTGAAGTCTGGGTAGACACATCCACTGCTTTCCCCTCATTCACCAGGCGGGTCACCTGATCATAAAAGGAAATCAGGTTGCTCAGGTGGGACCTGGCCTTCCTAAATCCATGCTGGCTGGGTCTGATCTCCTGGTTGTCCTTTATGTGCCATGTGATTACACTCTAGATGATCTGCCCCACAACCTTGCTGAGCACAGAGGTCAGGTTGACAGGTCTGTAGATCCTCCTTCCAGCCCTTCTTGTGGATGGGCATCCCATTGGCCAACGCCTAGTCATCTGAGACCTCCCCAGTTATCCAGGACTAGTGATTAATGATGGAGAACAGCTTAGCAAGTTCTTCTGCCAGCTCCCTTATCATTCTAGGATGAATCCCATCATGTCCCATAGACTTGTGAGCATTAAGCGGCTCAGAAGGTCACTAACTACTTCCTCCTGGATTACAGGGGGTCCATTCTGCCCCCATCCCTTTCTACTAGTTCAGGAGGCCAGTTGTCCTGAGGATAACCGATCTTAATGTTGAAGACTGAGGAAAAGAAGGGGTTAAGTATCTCAGCCTTTTCTCGTCTTTGGTGACTACATTCCCCCTCACATCCAATAAAGAATGGAGGTTTTCCTTGTCCCTCCTTTTGCTATTAATGTATTTATAGAAACACTTTTTGTTGTCCTTAACAGAAGTGGCCAGATTAAGTTCTAACTGAGCTTTCACCTCTCACCTTCTTTCTGCATGACCTACTGATATCCTTAAACATTTCCTGAGTTGCCTGCCCCTTTTCCCAAAGGTGGTATGCACTCATTTTTTCCCCTGAGTTCCTGCAAAATCTCCTTGTTCAGCCAGGCCAGTCATCTTCCCCAGTGCCTTATCTTTTGGCACACAGAGACAGCCTGCTCCTGTGCCTTCAAGATTCCTTTCTTGAAGTATGTCCATCCTTCTTGGACTCCTTTGTTTTTAAGGGCTGCTTCCCAAGGGACTTTCTGAGTCAGGGTCCTGAATAGGCCAAAATCTGCCCTCCAGAAGTCCAGGGTAAAGGTTTTGTTGATACCCCTCCTTACTTCACTGACTACTGAAAACTCCACCATCTACTGGTGGTTGTGTCCAAGATGGCCTCTGACCACCACATCTCCCACTAGCCCTTCTCCGTTTGTAAACAGGCAGTCTAGTGGACATCAGCCCTGGTAGGCTCACTTACCAGCTGTAACAGAAAGTTATCTTCCACACACTCCAGGAACCTCCTAGACTGCCTCCTCTACACTGTGTTGAGTTTCCAGCGTACATCCCAAAGGTTAAAGTCTCCCATAAGAGCAAGGGCTGTCAATTGTGAAACATCAGCCAGCCACTTATAGAATAATTCATCCATCTCTTCTTCCTGGTCGGGGCATCTGTAACAGACTCCAAAGAAACTCTTTTAAGAGCCGACTTTTCAGTGTAACAGGCACCTTCACCCCATCTTCCTCCAGGCAGCATTGCCTGAGATGCAGCTGAGGCTCTATCTTCTCCCTTTTCTAGTTTCTTTCAGCACCTCTCACTTCAGACTTCCCTGATCCTGTTTTGATCTAACAGGAACATGACATGGTGAATAGAGCAGCACCATGCAGAATTGTACAACTTCAATTTTAGCCATGTACCAACTTGTTTTTATTTCATTTAAGAGGCCTCACTGGAGGCATGATAGTTTCATTACCATTGTAGTACTTTACAAACGATACATCAACGAAAGGATTAACTACATAAACATCCTGTTAAACTTGCTGTCATTATTTCATTGTGATCTGATGATAACTGCATAACTTTTTGCTAATACTAATTATCAGTCTTGACAGATTTGGCACATATAACGATTTCTACAGTACCTTCCCAGCATAGGCATTTTTCTGCTTCTTGATCACCACTGCCTTTGTGTTACTGGAAGAGCCTCCTGCTTTCTCCAGAGAATTTCATAACTCTTTCATCCAATCTCACAGCTGCTCAGCATCCACCTAATTGACGTGGCCACCTCTGGAAAGGAAATGTAAGGATGAGTTGATAAAATATTCTTCTGGACATGGTATTTCTCGGTAATGTCATACATGAAAAGACTGCAGGTAACATGACCCTCAGGAAGAATTGAAAAGAAGAATTAAAGTCAAAGAAGCGTTGAAAGCATCTCTTTTTTTCCATTGTGGAGAAAAAAATACAGCCACTCGTCTGGTTTATTAGTTGTCTCATTAAAAGGTTTACTACACTCAAGACTGAATATGCAGAACTGTTTTTTGGTTTATAAAACGTAATTATTCTAAAGCATTTTTGTTTAAAAGAGGTAACTCGGCACCCTTAACAACCACGGTGTCAGCAAACTGATAATTTTAACTTTACAAATACTGCTACAAAAATGTCTTCCAAAAAACTTTTGCTTTCAAGGTAGGAGAAGTATGTACACAGGCAACTTAGCCTGGGGTTTAGATTTGTTTTCCAAAACTATGGGTTTTTGGACGCTTACACTGAGAGGTAAATTTCATTATTAACTGAGGTTAAAAAAGGCTCTGCTAAACCTTCAGTGGTTGAGGGAAAAGGGTATTTGGTAGATTTTAGAGAAAAGTATAAAAGCAGAACTTCTGAGTGTGAGCATCCTAGCTAGTTCATATCCTTCAGATTTTATAGAAAGCAAAGTATTCCCAAAAAGAGACCAATAGTTTCCATGAGTTTCTGGAATCTATGAGTTTGCTAAGCAGATTTATTTTGTACCATTTAAAGAATGAAGTTAAGTTTGATTAAGAGCAAAGAAGTATCCATACATATATTTCTGATGTTAACTATATCAAACACTGGTTAAACCTTTAAAGTATTACTACTGTAGTAAAAGCCACATTTCTTAAAACATGCTAGCATACATTAGCTAACAGATTTACACGACACTTCAAACTCTCAGGGTTCTTGCTTAGTACAAAGAGCAAGGAAATTCTGTTAACAAAGCTAGTGTTGTTTCTGTTTGTAAGGTCTAGCATGAAATGGTATTACGTTCAGAAAATTATATTCACCTACTGCTTTGCACTCACCCATAGCTCAAAACATGAATACAAAGCAGCATGACTCAGCTAAATATAACGGGTCTGTGATGATTCCACTGGGCTGTGAAGAACTGTTGAAATTTGATTAACCTGTGAAAAGGGAAAAGACAATGAGTTATGGAGATAGCACTTCTCTCATAGTAAAGTGTCTACCACATTATGATCTTAAAATAGCGCTACTATTTGGGAGAGACATTTCACAGAAGAATTGACACCTTACATGCCCTTCAAAAACCATAGCTAGCCAGCTGACAGATATCCTCCCTTAGCAAATGGGCTGCTGAGACAGTTCACATCCCAGGGTTAGTGCAATGTTCTTGCTCTCCAGCAGCAAAATCCTATTCAGCCTCACTTTAAAACCTGCTGGCAAATGAAGGATAAATCACTCTAAGTTTAACACATCTAAAAATGTATTAACATGCTAGAAATTATTTAAATGGACTTATTTTTGCAGCCATACTTGATTGTATGAGTACTCTTCCCCTTTGACCTGCCTGCTTAAGAACTCTCTTAAGCTGTCTTCTAAAATATATTCACAGATATTTTCTATACTTAATCTCTTGCTTGTTTTCACATTTCCTACCCTGGTTAAAAATTTAAAACATTTATTTCTGCTTCCTAGTTACAACTTAGAAAGTCAGCAATGCTATGAAAAAAAACCACCAGTATGATATTGCAGAGATGTATTAATATTACTCAACATTCAAAGGTTTGCTAAACCCAAGAACTCAGCAAAGACTTCTTCAATGTATTACACAGAACTAACCAAGAGCTCCCTGCTTTCCAGGGAAGCGCAGATTTTATGGGAAATTTACTGTATTAGACTAGACTATTCAAAACAAACAAACAAAACAATAGAATTTCATTTCAGCTTGGCTCATACAGAAATTAGTGTATTTCATTTTGCTGAACTGACTGATATGACTCACTTCCTGGCAGTTAACAAAATAGAAAACTACTTTTCCCTTTCCTCCAGAAGGAAGGTATTGACTCCTGTTCTCATTCAGGGTTGATATTACAACTATCTCTCTGGTTGAACTGCTTTGGAGTCATAGAAAAGAAGGTGATTCACTAGAAAATTATTTTGGTAAGGGAAGAATATCTGTAAGATTTCTTTTTTTCAAAAGGATGCTTTTTCCCTCAGCCACCCCTGCAAAGCACTGAAAACGGGAAAATCTGGATAAGTTACGAAGTGCCTTGGGAGAAGTCATGTGCATTTTACAAAGTTTGAAGCATGAAAATATCTCGTTGACATTGAAAATACCTCTACATTGGTAAATTCTTGGCTTTTAAGAACTTTGATTCCCAGGAAAAGTCTTTGAAACAAGAGCATTTCATATCAGCAAAGCTCTTCATGCAAATACCAGAATTCCTTGTTCATGAGCAATTCCAAATCCTACTTAGCTCTCATAATAGTCCCCTTCCATCTGAGAGATTTCTGTAGCATGTATCAGATGAGTGTAATTATTACTCTCCTAGAAATTCTTCTATTAACAGTATCTGCTTATACTTCAAGGTAAAGAACACTTCTTCACCCAGGTCACTACTCAATGATACAACTGCAATTTTCTGAGATATACTGGTCTATAAATCAAAGAAACCTTTTAAAGATATTTCTCAACTACATCCTGATTGTGCAAACACAAATCCATGGGGAATCAGATGGATACAAAACATCTTCCTGGCAGAGAAGCCTTGCCCTCCTAAATTCATCTTTCCAAGGTCGCCCGTTCCATGGAAAGCACCATGAAGAAAACAAAACCAAATCACACCACAGAGCAAAAGCAGCTAGGTATCTTGAATTTCTTTGGAAATGCTGTTCATTAAAATGATTTCAAACCAAAGAAATTTGTGACTCTACTGATGTTTAATATTTCTTCAAAGTACACTCCTGTGTGTTTACCCATAAGGAGATGATGGATTCACCATTCCAACTCGGCAAAGAACTTTTTCTGTAATCAAAAGGTAAACCCATGAAAGTTTTTTGCAGTCCTTTTTTTCTGATATAAATCTGAAAACACCAAAACAACCACATCCCTATTGCACTGATGACCCTTAAGACTGAGCTGTCGCTCGAATACCAGTAAGTAAAACCTGTCAAAATGTGCTATGACCACTAAACTAAAACTAATGACTTCACCAGCAGCCCCTGGCCTCTAACAAGCAGAAAATAACATTGATCTTAATCAGATCAGACACCAGATTCACTCAACTCTATCTCAAAGTCTATTTGATTTCATGCTTCATTATAAAATCAATTAATTGCTTCATTGCCTAGTCATTTTATATGTTTCTTATGAGACATATTGTGTTGATATTCGAAAGATAGCAGGCACAGATGTTTTATATTAGCCACACACAGTAAGAGTGGAAAACAACATTATTTTTAAAAGATGCAGCATATATAAACCAATGCCATGAACGAGTTCACCAGACCATGCAAAGCAGTGAGATCAATTGTACCGGCCAGGGGGTCTTTCCTGAGTGCCTAAAAGCCCTGCTTTCACAGGGGCTTCACAAACTGTGACAAGGAGGCAAGCGCCATTCCCAAATCCATCCTCAGCAGCACCTTTTGCCAGTGTACAAGTACTTCCTAGCAGGAGAGCTCAATCTCCTCAGAGCTGAAAGCTGAAACATTTTCAGTGCAGTGAGGCATTTTAGAAGCTGAAACTACACATGAAACACCAAGGTAATCAGCACAGACATGCTGGACATGTGGAAAATTTAAGTCAAAATGAGGGTCTTTTGTGGCTTTGCAATAATAATTTTATTTTCCACACAACTTGTAAATTTGAGAGGATGTTTATGGAAAATGGGATCGTGCGCTCAAGCATGAGTTTCCAAATGAAGTCGATTTTTAAGGAAGTTATTTATAGTTTATTCTATCAAGCTTTTCAATTACATCTAGATTTTGTAGAGCATTTAACCATGATGCATTTCAGTTCATGATGCAGTTTCATGAATATATAACTAGAAACATTCCTTTCAGACAAATGGGATTCCAACATTAGCAATAAGAGAAGGAATTTGTTAAGATTCAACCCTACAAAAAGTATGTGTATATCTTTTCTACTGCAGATAGTATTTGCAATAGATGTGGGCTGGAAAACTGTTTTTTCTGGTTTTTATATTAACTTTTGTCCCAGTTGCCATGCACATATTCCAAAGACTACTTTGCCTTAGCTTTCCTGAAGAAGTGCTCCTATAACAAATGCTTGATTTTTTACCTTGGATTTAATTATGTACGGTTTTATCCATTATTCCTTATGCTTATTCACTGATAATCTGTCATGTTCTCTTCTTCTGTGATTTACAAAATATTCTTTGGAAGTGACATAATGACATTAACCCTGCCCTACTTTTGAGGTGTCAATAATTTATAGAAGCCTGTCTTGCAGCACTTCTGAAACCATTCCTTATTTGTGTCAAAGCTGTACAAGTTGCAGTCAGAGCTGTTTCACCCAACACTATCCTGCTTTTGACACTGACCACCACTAATTCTTTCAAAGGACATTCACCAGGACTTAGAAAAGGCAGATACGCAATAGCTTGCTGCCCATAGAATGATTTTTTTGCCCTATTAATTAGGAGTAGATTTAGGTCTTCTCCCACATTGTTATTTCATTTAATCAATATGATGGCAGCTTTTGAGGTTGAATAATCTGTAAAAGCATATACTATTTTCTGGAGTCCCAAAGCCCTGAGTGTGTAGCAGGTCATGTCCAACCACCCTGGGACATCTGCAAAGGCAGCCCACTGCCTTTTTCAGGCAGGACATCCACTGCCAGTCAGTCTGATCAGCACCACGGATCTAGCTTCAGTTTGGCGAGAACCCTGCTGGCAATGCAGGGGAATGACTGGAACTACAAGTGAATGACTGGCTTTCGATAAGCTGAGTAATAGTTACCCAGAAGCCAAGTATGTGGGGGAAATATTAATCTCAAAACAGCTTATAGTATCTTATATTTTAGGTGTTCATCTGTCTTTTACACAGAAGCAGCCAAAGTCAGCGGCACTTCACATTCTCTCTGATGGGTCCATGTCTGTTGGTCAGAGTCTCATTTCTATCCATTCCTGGAAAGTGATCCTGACATAAATGTTATAGTGCTTGAAGCTTCTTCGAGCTACTGCTCTGTCTTCCTGTCCCAGCACAAAGCCCCAACAGCTGCATTTAGCTGCACTGCTTAACTGTTGAGAAATTGCCTTAATCAAACCTGTCTGACTAATGAAAACCCCAAATGTGTAAGTTGAGGTCACATGTGGAGGACCATGTCTTGTGGCAGATATGCCCCTCTCAATGGGATGAGCACACTGCAATACTCGATTGCTGCTAGCCTGCCTTCAGAGGACACCTTGAATCAGCTCTCATACAGCTGCTGTTCTGACTCTCCAAGGGCCTGATATATTTGGCATGTTGACTAGAGCCTTACTTACCATGTAGGAGTGGTATGTCAGGAGTGGGAGGCAGAAGAACTTCCATGACACGAGTGTTGGAAATGTCAGCTGGGAAACACTGGAAAACAGGGTCTGAAGAAATTAGTCTCAATCTGAACACTTGAGGCTAGTTAAACCAATTCCTTAGCTTCTGGAAGACGAAAACAATTATTCTTCTGGAATGAGGATAAGTAAACACTTGGACTCACCAAATTACTGATAGTTTCCATTGACTTGGGAGGGATTTGTTAATTTTTTGAATTTAAACTACATGCTACTTGAAGACATTTTTATTTGAATATCAATTTCCGTTATTTCTCTGAGGCATAGAGGACTAATACAGCTCGATTACTTATTCAGCAGTCTTTACTCTCTTTGCTTGACAGATATTTATCTCTAGGAATTAATACTTCTTCTGGTGAATCAATTTACAGCAGCACTTTCATAAACTTTCATAAGTTAGGCTGATTATATCCAGTTCTCATAAGCTGAGAATCACATTTCCTCATGTATGTCATCCATAATAACACAAAACTTTGTTTCCAGGGTTCTGCCTTCACTATTTCAGAATCAAAGAGTGATTCAGGACTCTCTAAATAACCCTCCCATCCTGTGACTAGGAAGAGAGTCACCAACTTCAAACTGAGAGAAGAGACTGCTTTCAGGACAGTGCCCCAGTCAGGAAGAGGAGAAAAAATAGCTGCAGTGAGAAAATGTCAGTGGTTTTAACATCCACGATCTGTCTTCTCTATCAGTTTATTAAAAATTAACATCACCATTTGGCACTGCAGGGATGTGCTGTAGGAATAAGTGGGTTTAAGTCTAACATAATCATGAACAGGGTAGGTTGTTTTCACATTTCTGTTGTATAGTGTTCAGAAGTCTTTTGCTTAGTGCAAAGAACTCATATCAAGTGCTATAGAAACTTAGACTGTGCAATACCTTCCTGGAATAGGTCATAAATTTGTATAATTTACATAAGTATTACAACTTTGCCCAGATGATAGTACAAGTCCAGAGTTTAAGGTTCTTGCTTCTGATGAGTGTACCTTCACCAGCTCCAGTACATTTTTTTACTGTAAAGGTGGTAAAATAGAGAAAAATGTTACCCAGAGAGGTTGTGGAGATATTAAAAACTCAACTGGACATTGTCCTGAGCAACTGGCTCTTGCTGCCCCTGCTTACGCAAGGGGGACTTGACTAGATCTCAAGAGGTTCCTTCCAACCTAAACTACTCTTAAGACCATAATCTGCACCAGCAACACAAAAGAGTTATTTTATTACTGACTGCTACATTCTTACACATGTAGCATCATTTTTTGGATCGTCTGTAGTTTTAATTGGGCTACAAGTAACTGCAAATAGATCCTATCGATTACCCTCTAGTTGGGTATAATGTGAAGAAATGAGGTCAAAGATAGCTTCAGCAATGGAACAAACACGTCATCGGCTTTAGTGGTCAGCTAAAGTGTGTGCAATCAAAGTCATACAAAGGGCAAATCCTCTTTCCAGCAACTTGCTGTACTAAAAGAGATAACCCTTGCCTTGACTGTGGTTACTTTCAGAATTCCTAAGTTCTCTGCTTAGGAGTAAAAGGGTCTAGGTAAAACAAACCTAGTGAGAAAGGTTGGGTTTTGGCTAAACTTTGAGGATGCAGCTAAAACTTTTTACTTTTATTTTTCCCCTGAAGAATGCAAATGCATTTTTGAGCCACTGAGTAACTAAATCAACAATGTACTTCTGCAAGTAACAAAATTCTACCTTGCTTTCAAACATGCACATAAAGGTACTCCTAGATAAACTCTTACTGTACTTTCTTTCCAGAGCACTGTGCTGTGTCTCATGCAGGGTCCTCAAGGCCCTTACTACTTCTGCTTTCTATCAGAATGTAACTGATCCATCTCAGGTTGGAAATAGAAATGTGATTCTTCAGCTTCTCCTGGGGATAGAAACCTCCACAGACAACTCAGAAAAGAGAGGTCCTTACCTCACTAGCTAGAGTTCATAATCTGTGACTCTAGTAATTTCCTTTCTCATCAGAACAATCCTCAATCATGGTAAGAGATCAGTGGTACAAGGCATAGGCAGACAACACTGTTCCTCTTGTTTTTACAGCAACTTCCTGGAATGAATTTATATCTTTAATTTCAGTTACTTTAACTCAACAGCCATCAAAAATGTGCAAAATATTATATATCAAGAACACAAAGATACCTTTATTTCTTTAATACTGTGCTAAACAAGTCAGAAGAATTCTCCAATAATTTTGCTGCTTCTTTAGAGGAAAAACAGAAGTGTATTACTGAAAGCCTGTATAAAAGCAGAGTTTGGCTAAAAGAAAACTAAAAGAGACTTAGTAAGTTTACTGACATCTTAATGAAAGTGGAAATTTCCAAGCAGAAAGTGCTCAGTAGGAAGCATTTTTGTATGGACAAAGAGACATATATAGTGCAGTGAACCACATTCTGTAATGTTTCCTGCACGTATCCTGCAGTGATGAGCAGACAGGGTTCATAGCTTCAGGACACTACACTTTTCACACTCAGCACAGAAGAAAGTGTTGCAGCATCATCTCATGTTGGGGAATACAGAAAACAAGGGAAGTGGATAAGGGGAAAATCTCATCTGAAAAGAGACAGCAGTACCTGAGCAAGTGCTCTCTGTCTCTCTCTCGGGCATACACCAAGCCTGCAAGCCTGCTTGCACACAGGCCAGGATTGTTTTTCAATTGTCTCAGCTCTCACTTAGCTTCGACTGTAGACTGTGACTCTCTGACTCCAGCCACTGACTGTGACTCTCACAACTCCATGAGGTGGGGTCTTCTGCCCTGCCGTTTGCTTCATGATGGGAAAGAAGGAGCTCTTGCTATTTGTAGTTCAGCTGGGACACTGAGATGGATGTGAGGCAAGGTTGGCTTGGGTGACTTCTAACAAACTCAGGAGACTACTTGGATAAGCAAAAACTCCCTGATCACTCATTTAGACAGCTCAGAAGACTGGTAAAGAGGTGAGAAAGCTGCCTGTAGGCAAGCTGTCGGACTGACAGCATGACATTTAGGGTTGGACCAGTACCTCTGCTTTAGCTATGAAACAGCCTGGTTCAGACCTACATCTGACATTCAACCCCACCCTAACAACACCTACGCTCCACAGGCCACTCCTCCTCTCTTCCTGCTGCTCTGTGAATCAGTGGAAACAAAGGGAGTACTGTCTGGATGGGAGAGTCACGACTTCCAGAAAAGCTGAGCAACAGAAAAGAATACAGATACATTATTTTGTCTCCATTTATCTCTTCTCAGTTTCTTACTGCAGTTCTGAATAAGTGCAGTGATTATTTAACATATAGTGGGCACAGGGGAGTCTCTATAGCTTGTGGGCTGCTGTATATTCACAATTTTGATGATTAGTATAAAATTGTATGTCAAACCTTGTACCATGTAGTAAGACATTGCTACATAGGTCAGAACACCACAGGAATTTGCAGGTAAGAAATAATCTTAGTTATTGAAACAGTAAAATAAAAAACCATAATGAAGACAAGGACAACTTACACAGGTATTTGGAAAAGAATATCTATTTTTGCCAAGAAAAATACACTTACCAATAGAGGCAATGTTGCAAAAGCCTTAAGATTACAGTAAATATTTTGGATAAGGATCAAAATACTTGTAGTTGAAGCAATTTATGTTTTCCTGCAATTTTATGAGGGTAGACAGAACGGTCCAAAATATGTTCAAATAAACTATTTTACATCACCATCCAAGTATTTTTCCTTCCTGCAGTAGAAAATGATGAAAATATCAAAGTTTACAACACTACAGAGCTTGGTCTTTTCAGATGATGCACTTGCAAATTTTTCATTTGTTTTGTTTTTTATTCTGTTAACTAAGGACTTTCAAACACCACTTGCACCCAAACCCAGAACCATTTCTGGTGAAATGCAAGTCATGCAAAACCTGTGCAGCAAGCACGAAAAGTGAACTGCTCTGCAAATACCACTACAGTTTGTCACCAAGAATTTCTGTATTTTAAAACTAACAATGAAAAAAAGTGCTATAAATTTAAGGACAAAATATGTGTAATAACCCTTTACAATCCTCACAGTCAGTATTTGCTGGATACACAAAGTCAGTTATATGGCAGCATCTGTCAAAAACAGGAGGCTCTTCTAATTATCACTTCTTAAACATCTGCAGTTTATGGAAAAAAAAGGAGAAAAATAAATAATTGAAGAACACTGGTCATTTGAAAGTCTTAATATTTCTCAGAGACTGTTATGCTACTCTGTACCTCCTGAAAAGAACACTGGAAGGAGGAGGGATGGCAGAAATAAGCATTTTCATAATACCGTGATTGATGGAGGACCAAGAATTCAACCCCAAAAATCTCTTAGGAACAACTCACCAAACAGGAATCTTAATCATTTCAGACTTCTGGAAGGGAAGCAGGTGGAATGTGGAACATATTTGGGTTTTGGCAAGGCAATAAAAATACTGATACTGACCTTGAAAAGCTCATCTCCGGAAAGCTGGAGGCATTTCATGCTATTTTTTGTTATCCTGAGGAGAAAAGGAAAAATTCAGGAATCTTGAGAGGGTAAGCTCTGGTCCTTATATGAATTAAAGCTCAAATCAGCTTTAGTTTGAAGTTGATGAATAACTTTACACGGATAGAAAACAGTAATTGAATTGGTTTTATATAAGTTCATTTTACCCCAAAGTGACTTCTTGCAGCTATGTCACTCTGCTCAGTGCCATCTCTGCCCCTTCGTAACTGTGCCATTATGAGCAAATATCTCTGGTTGGTTACTGCTGATGTACGCATCTTGTCTACACAATAATACTTCCAAATATCTCCCCAGAGCTAAAATGAGCTTATTACCACAAAAGATAGTATTTCTTCCATATTGTCTCTACAGAACCAGTGCAAAGTGTAGCATTAAACCTGCATTATATGGGAAAACTGTGGTTTAAACAGGTTTTAAAATGGCTTTTGGTGGTGTCTTTGCAAACACATGCTTCTTCTTCCCAGCACCCCCCATGTTATCCATGCAGGAATGTCCTGGGAAGGTGTCCTGAGGTGTTTCCCACTGGCCTTTGTTAACCTCTTCTTGTGATTGGGTGTTCCTGTAAGCCCCTTGAGACTTCTAATTGGTTACTCTGTGAATCCTCCTAAACCCTATAAATGTAACATCCCCAACAATAAACACTCTCTTGCCTCCTCTCCACGCCCGGTGTCCTGTGACCTGTCTCCCTGCCAGCCATGAGGCCACGTGCAGGGGGGGAGGGGGGAGCACCTCTCCCCTCCAGGCTCAGGGCCAGAAAAGACCCCTGAGAAACCCCTGGAGTTCCCTTTCCCCATCCCTCAAAGCGTCGCAATGGTTCTTCAGATGGAAACGGAACTAGAACTGGGCTGCCCCACGCCGTGGGTGGGGAAAGGGATCCAGAACTGGTGCCACCGTGTGAAGAAACGAATCTTACTGAACTCTTCTATGAAGATAGGTTGATTCCTAAGGCACAGATGGGGGCGAATCTGTGTTCCCCGGTGCTCCGAAGTTTAAGCGGTTCGAAGTGTTAGCAGACTGCAGCTGTTTTGAACACTTCATCAATCCTCCTGACGCAGGTAGGAAGCAAACTTCGGCATAGCAAAGAGAAAGCATTTGAAGTTTTGCTCTGCCCTTTCATAATGACCACTGTGTCTGGTTTTCATAGTACAGAGTACAACTGCTGCTGGGAACTGCATTTGGACCCAGATCATCCTTTCATGCACCATGCTGGCATGGCTTTTTTATGCTCTTTGGCATCTGAGTAAAAATGCAAACACCCCTCTGTTCTCCAGAGCTGCAAGAGGAGAGTCTGAAGCCAAAGGCAACCCTGTCACTCTCCCTGCAGAGCTTTTCCCAACTGATTCTCATTATAATCATGCCTGGTAATTGCTAATTTTTAATTATTTTTGCAGTTTACACCTGTCTAATATCAAACAAATGCTAGCTCCCTTACCCTTCTGCAGCTATTTAAGCCACTACACAAAAGACACTGCTTTAATATTTAACCTCTGGGCCTACAACAACTACAGAGAAGCACAAGACACAGATGAAGCAGTAAAATATTTGTAACTAGCTTTAGAAATGTCCTCCAGGTCTCTGCACCTAGATCTGTGCTTCTTTGCATTCTATGGACAAATTAGCACTGTAGCTGCCTACCGTACACAGTTACCTGGGAGTTTGCACTCAGAGCTTCAAGCCACCGGAAGCAATTACCCTTGAAGGTGTGCCTGTAGGTCTTAACACAGCATTCACCCCAAAAAGGATGTGAGGGAAAGGCTGGGAGGCCAAGCGATTGCACCAAGGGGTGGGGCAGTACACCTTAGCTGAAGTCCCCGTGAGCCCCAGCCAGACAGAAATATCACCTCATACTGCACGTGGCTCACCACAGCACAGTCACCTCCTCTGGGAACATGGGTGATGAAGCTGCACGTGGGCAAGAGCTGTCTGACTGCAGCTTCAGCAACCACTGAGAAAAGAATAGAGGGGGCTAAACCCCTCTTACCTACCTGCTTTGCTTTTTCCATACTCAGTATAAATTCAGACAAAAAACACCTGAATAACTTCTGTTTAAGCACCTCAGACTATTGTTTAATTCAAAGAGGAAGAAGAACAGCTAGCAATCCAAATATTTGTACTTTGGTCTTTGAGAAGCACAACAGGCAGAGTCCCTTTCTGCTTAAGTGTGAAAGAACAGATGAATAAGTTCCTTGCTCATAAATCCAAGGCAATTTTCTGTTCTCTTCTGTTAATTGTGCATTAACTTTCATGCTCAAGCTTCCCTTGTTTTTGAGTTCAAATTTCTTCTGGTGCACAAAGATTTACCATTTCTTCCTCCTGTCTCTTCAGTAAGTTCTGAGAACTGCCTCCATCCCTCGATGCTAATGCTTCCTCAAAATTAACCCTTAATCAAAGGCATCTAGTGTTTCATCTAAACAATTTAATTCCTCACCTGGTATTTTCAATAGGGTTTTCTGATATATATTATACTTCCTCTAACCTCCTTCACCATACCAATACCCTGGAGGCACAGTGAGCTTTAGAGGTAGGCTGGCTATGGAACTGGCTAAGTTCTGTCATCTGGAAACAAATGCAAGCACTCCCATATTGCATTTACGTTGGTTTTACCACTACTGGTTTCTATTGTGATTAGAGCAGTTGGTGCTGGAAAGTCACTACTGGAGCCATGAGGAGGCCTTATATCTTTAAAAGCAGCATTCTGGTTTTCAGGCAGGGTGAAATATTGAGCTTATGGGCTACGCAAGTCACCTGCGTTTCTTTTGTGTGGCAACATAACTAAGGCTTAGACACTGATCCTTTCGTCTTGCTCACTTTGACAGATCACTCCCATATACTTCCAGGAAAATAAGACTTCTTTTATAGCAAAAATCCAGAAAAGAAACAAAAAAATCCCACAACAACCAAGCAAACAACAAAACCATCACCAAAAAAACCCCAAACCCACAAAGTCTTTACACCATGTTCTTAATCCACCTTAGTTTTCTTGAGAGTGATTGTGACATCGAATGATTCATTTTGTGGAATCAAAAAGCACGGTGTGAAGAGATTTTTTTTTTTTTAAGAACTCTCATATTTAAAACGGTTGAAGTGAATATTTTCTCCTCCTTCAGCCTTTCAGTTCATATCTGCAAACAGGAAGTGTGCCCTTCCTGCCCAGGTCCTGTGCCTGCTCAGGACTCCCCGGGAGCTTCCTAGTGAGACCAGATTTATTCATGAGATGAAGGGGCTTCATGTTTTTAAGAGGGCTCTCCTTAGAAGCTTTTATTTACTTGTTAAGTAACACATTTGTGTGTTATCCCTTCTGAAACTGATGTGGATGGAATCAGGCAGACAGCACATGTTACATTACATTATGAGGCTTAACATTTCACTAATTGCATTGACCTCTTTCTGTGAATCACAGATTATTCCCCTGCTCATAAAGTACATCTGATTCCTTTACACAGTTGTCCATGCAATGTGATACAATCACAAAGGTCCACGAGGGGATGAAACCTCGTGATTTATCTATCCAAATGTAAGCAGACAGCATCTCCAGTTTTCATCAATACTTTGTCCACATGAACAGGATAAGGAACAAAGCTCTATTATGTTCTGCAACTTATTTCTTAACTCTTACTTCTCTTTTAAACAGATATAACAAAACATGAATTGAAATAAGAAAAGCAGCTGATGGGCTCTACTTGGGCATGTGGTTTTTCAATTCCATGAAGAGTTTCTGCAGGATGTAATGGGAAACAAAGCATCAGTATAGAGACCTCAAACGGGTATGAGTCAGCCATCTGCTGACATACCAAGGACCTCCATTCAGCATCTCTGTGCTGACCTGCATCTTCTGAACGACGATGGGTCCTCTGGCTACTCATCAAGAATTTTTGCTGAAATGTCATGCATGCATGTAACTCCCTATGAGCTGGGAAGAGCATCATTGCTCCTCCTTACTCCATTGCACTAAGTCAGAGAAGCTATTAGGATAAATGCATTCTCTATGGTAACTACGTTTTATTACTTTGGCCAATTTCTCATAAACAAAAGTGCTAAGATAAAGCAAATAGTCTGCTAGCTAGCTCAGGACTGAGCACAACTTACATGAAATGCTGAAGCAAATGCACCAGGAAAGGTAATTCCAAATACTTCAACTAAATGAACCATTATGGTCCTGCCAAAATTCTCAATTGCAAAACCAGCACCTGAGACAAGAGTCCACTCAAGTTAGCACAAGTCCTTATGCTGGCTTTAGTGGACTTTGGATCAAGGTCTTTCATATAAAACCACCTGCACCTGTGAACTTTCCTATTTATG